TAATATAATATAATATAATATAATATAATATAATATAATATAATATAATATAATATAATATAAATGTTATGAAATAAATACATAAATAAATATATAATATAATATAATATAATATAATATAATAATACATTAATATAATAAAAAATTGTGAAATATTATATTATATTATTTGTTATTAAGCATAATTATTTAGTTTTATGTCCAAAATGCAGTTAAATGTTGCTTTAGCTAAAAATAAAAAATAGAAATAACGTCTAACTCAGTCTGTCTTTAAAACATTAGTACTATTAATTATGTAAATAAATAATAGAATGATATATAATTAACATGCATATATGTGCACACAAGTATAGTAAATAAATAATTATGTATTCTTTAAATTTAATAGACTTAAACTTTATTTATAAAGCACACTATAGCAACAGTTGTTGACCATTAAACTGTACACAAATTGTGTTAAAAATATCAGATAAGATAAAATTATACACACAACATGAAACAGAAAACAGCAAACTCGGATAACTCCGGTATTAAAAGCCTTTTCTAAAAGGTGAAACTTCAGTTTTCTCTTGAACATGGATTTAGTAGAGATTATTCTAATAGAGAGAGGTGGACCGTTCCACAGTTTAGGGCCCACAATGGAAAAGCCCCAGTCTGCCTTTTTCTTTAACTTTGATCTGGGAACTTTTACCAATTTCTAACTTGATGACCTTAAACATCTAGCAGATATGTTAACAGTCTCACACAAATCCTTTCCATGCAAACCATTAAGATGTAGCAAGCACTGCACTTAAACCAAATCCTTACTTAAAACAACATTGCCTACAATCTTCCACAAACAGTCAAACTATGTGTACACCTTTTTGACTGAGTACTTGTCTATCTTTGCCTACATGTGTGTTTTCCTTAATGTATGTATTGTCTTTTACTGTCAACATTGCTTATAGTATATTGTTTTGTTTTTTGGTGTATGTGGTTGTATCTTGCACTGTCTGGAGCCAGCACCTAAGCTTTTATCTCATCATAGTACACGTGTAAAATGATTTGATTTGATTTGATTTCAGATAGATAAAAAAGTGACAGACCATTTAAAACCTTAAAAACGAAGTAAAAATTTTAAATCGATTCTAAAACATTCCAGCCACCAGTGCAGTAAGAGTGCCAGTAAGAAGTGTAGCAGCTGCCTTTTGGACCACATTTAATACACTGTAAAAAGTTATATGATCAATTAGTCATGACAACATATGATTTAGTTCATTGTAACTTGTTAAACTGAGTTAATCATGTTCTAACTTAATTTTATAAGTTACCAAGCTGTTTAAATGTAATATAAGTTTAAAAGACTCATAAAGTTTATTTGATTCAGCTTAAAAAAGGCAACCAGTATTTTTTTACAGTGTAGTATGTATATATATATATATATATATATATATATATATATATATATATATATATATATATATACACACACACACACATATATTTTTTCTTTTTTATATATTTACATACACATGCTTGAACAAGCAAACAAATTTTCACACTATGTCTGAAAATATTTT